CCCTGAGCGTGAAGCAAAGTCCTCCGGGGGTTCTAAGGCCAAAGCCGCGTTTTTCGAAGATTTTCATCAGTCGCCCTCGGTGTCGAAGTCTCAATCGAGAGCATCTCGCGATCGAAATAGCCAGTCCAAGAGCCCTTCTTTGCGGGCTAAGAGCTCTGCCGCGGACCTCATGTTTGAGATGGAAGAAGATGGTGGACCTGAAGCAGAGGCGGCTGACAAAAGCACGCCCGATCGCCATCGCCGCCACAAAGCCAATACTCCTGAGTCACTGTTGCCTTCTCCGCAGATCACCATGGGCTATGAAACCGACGATGGGCGAGCTGCCTCATCTTCCAAAACAGAGGGCGCCATCGCAGCTTCAACCAGTCCTTCATCCTACAAAAGCCAGGGTAACTCCACTGGTAAATCTCCTGGCGAAATAAGCAGCAAGCAGCCCTGGGCTCCTCCTTCAATGACTGCCACTAAGCTAGACATGAAAGATATCATGGCCCAAGCGTCAGCCCATAGCGTATCGAGTATTTCAACAGGGCTTTCTTTCCGTGCTAAGGAGAGTGAAGCTTCTACCAGTGGCTTACCTACGAAGCTATCCCAGAAAGAGCGTAAGAAGCAACAGCAACAACAGCAGCTTCGATCACCACAGAACTTCCCAACGCCAAACCCAAGTTCAACCGAAAATCGAGCACAGAGCGAGAGCTCGGTGTCGCCATGGCAGGTGGCATCCACTGGTCCAAAGCTTTCATTAAAGGATGTCCTCGGTACAGAGAGCACCAAGTCGCCATCATCCGAGGCTAAAAGCATACCTCGTACCCCATCGCCACTTACGATGAGACAAACCGTTCCTGGAAAGGCACCCGCGGCTCGAAGGGCTGCCAGTGGCCCTGCCCCAACGTTAGCTCCGACACAAAACCGCAGCATCTCAACGCCCGACGCCTCCAAAGCCTCAGCCCAAAATCCGCCTACGGCTTCACGCTCATCATCAGTCCAGCAACCAATCCAATCGATCCGCCACAAGCCTTTACCTGTCGAACCCACTCTCCAACTTTCAATGTCCGATATACTCTACCAGCAACAGACGGAGAAAGACATCATCAAAGAAGCAGCCGCCAAGAGGAGCTTGCAAGAGATCCAAGAAGAGCAAGCATTTCAGGAATGGTGGGATGAGGAGAGTCGGAGGGTTAGGGAGGAAGAGGAGTTAGCCGCAAGGCCCGCTGCTCGAGGTGGGAGAGGAGCGAGAGGGAAAGTGAGAGGTGGTTCCAGGGGAAGAGGGAGAGGGAGAGGGAGAGGTGACGGAGCTTCTGCAGGCAGAGGAGGGAAGAAAGTTGGGGGTGGACGAGGTAACGGATAGATGAGACATGAAGGTGAAAGCAAGGAATGTACATAACGAGGCATGACGGCATGCTAGGCCTAGCACACAAAGCCTGCACTCGACATATTTTATTCATCAAAACAAAATCACCAGCCCATCTAGATTACCTTATCCACTCCCTACCCGCATAAACCGACACCGTACCGTGGACTCATGCCCTCCCTTCCCTTCCCTTCCCTTCCCTTCCCTTCCCTTCCCTTCCCTTCCCTTCCTCAATCTTCCAATCTTCCAATCTTCCACCCCCTTTTCCTCTCAAATCTTCCAACTCTTCCCCTCCCCTTTTTTGCCGCCGTACTCTACATACGTACGCAAGCACGTACGTATGCAAGCAAGCACCATCCGTGCTTAGGCTCACGTTTCACTTTTCTGTCATTCATGCACTTTTCTGTCATTCGTGACCTTTTTTGTCGTTCATGACCTTTTTCTCTTTTATGAACTTGTCTCTCATTCATTCATTCATGCATGCATGCACTTTCTCTCTATCTCGCTCGCTTTCTCTCTCTCTCTCTCGCTTTCTCTCACTCATGAACTTTCTCTCACTCATGACCTTTTCTGTCGTTCATTCATTCACGCATGCATGCACTTTCTCTCTCTCTCTCTCTTATGAACTTTCTCTCTCTCTCGCTTTCTCTCATTCATGAACTTTCTCTCACTCATGACCTTTTCTCTCACTCATGAACTTTTCTGTCGTTCATGACCTTTTATCTCACTCATGACCTTTTTCTCTCTCTCTCCCTCTCTCTCACACACACATTCACTCTCTTTAAACACAACATAAAATTTATCAAATCCCATCTCCTTGCCATATAGATGCAGCTAGAGCAGACGCCGGCTTTTGGATTTGTAGGTCTGTCTGTCTGTCTGTCTGTCTGTCTGTTTGATGGGATGGCGGTCTGGGTGATTGGTTGCTTGGTTGCTTGCTTGCTTGGTTGCTTGCTTGCTTGCTTGCTTGCCTGCTTGCTTGCTTGCTTGCTTGCTTGCTTGCTTGCTTGCTTGCTTGCTTGCTTGCTTGCTTGCTTGCTTGCTTGCTTGCTTGCTTGCTTGCTTGCTTGCTTGCCTGCTTGCTTGCTTGCTTGCTTGCTTGCTTGCTTGCTTGCTTGCTTGCTTGCTCGGTTGTAGGGCTTTGGGATGGGCGCGGGGAGGGGTTTGGGACCGACGGTGTGCCCCTGCCGGGGGTCCCGTCTTTGACGCGGGTTTTGGGCGAGGCGGTCTTGCGGGGTTTGCGAGGATCCGGAGTACGATGCGGGCATCGATGGTGTTTTGATGGGACTTCGTTTTTTGATCTCTCTTTTGCTTTTGACGCGTCGAGGTCGACTCGTGGTGGTTTGATCACTTTGGAAATTTGGGAGAATCATCATGATGGCACTGCACGCTTGAAGTTGAAGGATGGAAGGAATGAAGATGTGGAGGTTTGACGTTCCTATGTCCAATAATGTCTATATAATTCATGCTATGTACAGTAGTCTCTCCTCGGTATCATTTTCGTATCTCATCATTCTCTGTTCACACAGCAGGACCGGCGCCCCCGACACTAGTTCGATATACCTTATAAGGTAAACTAGCCTTCGTGATATCATTCCTTTGATATGTTCCTTGAAGCGGAAGTTGGTTGGTCGTGAACCACAAATACCCGTTTTCAATACACATGCTGTCCGGCCACTGTATATCCGCACTTCTAACGAAGGGCGCTACTTCGATATCCGAGGCGGGAATTACGCCTTCGTTCGTGGCGTTCGTGCTTGATGCGTTGATACCGTTCAGCATTGTCGAATTCGTGAGAGAGGATATGGAGGTGTTGAAATAGGTGATGGAGTTTTGCTCTGCAGTGCCCATGTAGACGCGGCCTTGGTCATCGGCAGTGAAGCCTTCGAGATAGCTGCCTACTTGGCCAATGAATTCCACTGCGTTGAGAATCTCGGTATCTGTTAGGCTGGCATTCGCTAATACTGTCTGATTGATCTGATATAATCTTCGGGATGCTAAAGGTGCAAAGTAGAGGTTTCCGTTTGCGAGCGCAATGCCATCAGAGCCGATCCCGACGTGGGAGCGCTGGGTGCCTTTCCACTCGTAGAAAGGCGTTCCGTCGAATGATCCGACGAATAACTCGTCTGCCGCCACGACGGAGGTGTTGAAGAGGCGGCGGGTGTATGTGTGGGAGGCGAGGTCGATTATGACCAGGGAGCCTTGTTCATCAGTGAGAAAGGCGACGCCGGCGGTGGACATGGAGAGGTTGAAGCGGACGTCGTTGATGCTGTATTCCTCGGTTAGGAGCGGTTTCTCGGAAAGGGATTCGGGGGGCGGAGCATACCTCGTGCCGTTGGCGGAGATGGAGTATGGCAGCACGTAATTATCAATCATCTCATTCGTCGTTAGGTTAAAGGACATGATCTTCGCTCCATATTCCACCGCATCCGTCTGCCCCGGCCCCGCCCCTGTGTCCAGCGCCCATATTCTCTGTGCCGAATCGATTACCACGCTCTGGACATTGACAAAGCACGTCGAGACATTCTGACCGGGCTGACAGGTCTGTATGCTGGCATTTGGGTACGCGACTGTAGTATTGAAGCTGTCTGCTAGGCCCAGCGTGATATCATTGTTTGAGGCGGAGCGAGGGAAGTTGATGAAGATACGGTTGTCCTGGTCAACGGCGACGCCAGTGGGGAAGGTGGTGAGATTGTATATTTCGTGGACGACTTCGAGGTAGGGGCCGTCTATTGTGAAATTGTTGGGGGAGGAAGGCTGGGTAAAGGAGGTGAGGTTCTGTGGGGTGAAAGGCGAGGCTGTGGACGATGGGTAGGCAGAAAAGGTGTAAGCGGAAGAGGGGATGGCGAGGGTTTGGGTGACGGCTAATGCTGCAATGAGGAGGGAGGTAGAAAGAATCATTTGGGATATTTATTGAAGCTGAGACGAATGGAAGAGAAATATGATGAAGATGAAAGAAGGAAGGGCGGAAAGGGGAGAAAGAGATGTCGTTCCTACCTCATAAAGTAGCATACTGAACATTGAACATAATTACTTCATGATGGTAGGAAATCATACCAAGGGACGCGTCCCCAAGCGCCTTCTCCATTACGTGTACGACAGCACGAGCTAAAAAGAAGGCAACGATTGGCTTCTAAGAACAAGATGAAAGCCAAGTATCACTCAAGTCTTCTCCACTTCGCGGATGCATCTGAGCCGTGGTCGGGAAACTTTTGCATTCATGACGAAATCAAATTGAAAAGTGAGAACTGGCTGCGTCATCTTGCAGACACCATGCATAAAATGAACGCCGGGTAGCAGACGTGAAAGAAGAACAGCGCCTGGCCGAGTCTTGGCATGCCTGTTCACACAAGTACTCATCTACTCATCCTTGTTTGCATACATGCGTACATGGGTAATGTCCAAAAATACCAATATATAATGGTGATACCATTAGGGGTCTATAGAATAGCAGGCGGTCCGGACATTAGCGACAACTGAAGCTCGGATGACTGTGTAAGTAATGCATCGAGGGGCACCGCCAGTTTGATGTCAGGAGTACTGGATGCACAATCGATCACCGGCCGTACACTATATTGTGTGTATATACCCTTTCTCACCGACGTCTCGTCCGTCTGCTCGCGCTCTGCGTCTCCCTTTCCCTCGTAGCTACTTAACCACCCCTCCCGACCATTTTCAGTGCCTGTTTTTGCTCTTCTCGAATTTCGACCATCGGTAGATTCATTCCCTCCTTCGTCCCTTCCGGTCGGCCGATGAATCCAATCTCGGCCATGAAAGCCAGGTAAGCGCCCACAGTCTCTTGCGTGACTCCAACCTGGCAATCCTTCTCCTCAACACCAGTGGCTCGAAGCACGGCCTGTGCGTTGATGTTGTCTAAGGCTCTGGACTTCGTATCGGATGGCAGGTCAGTCGTCACCCAATCGAAGAGCGGAAGAAGCGCATGCGCTTCTCTTTGGTCTTGAGTTTCCGTCGACACGTATTGCTCGAGGGCTGAACGCCATTCTGGATAGGGTATCATTGGCACATTGTAACCATATTTCTGTAACGTTTCGAGGAAAGCATTGAAGCCCAACTGCGCATGTGGCGTGACATGCACAACTCCAACATCTTGCTCGAGCGGTGGATGCAGTGAAGACGCCACGACGAGGTTGGCGCAGTAGTCGACGGGAACGAGATTGATGGTGTTGTTGCCTAGGTCTGGACGGCAGGATAGCTGGATACACCCTTTGAGCATACGGAGCAGAAAGTCGTCGGTAGGGCCGATGCCGGTAGATGGGTTCCCAGTAATGTAGCCTGGCCTGACGACACTACCTCGCAACCCACGTAGTCCTGCTTCGCGCATGAGGTACTCGGAAACGTATTTCGACTGCGCGTACCCGCTCGAAAGGCCCTTGCGGGAGCCGTCCAGAGGGTCCCTTTCTAAGATGGGCGTCGTGCGAGAGGCGTAGTGATCCGTATCCAGAACCGCGGTCGAAGAGACGAACGTCAAGTGCTTGGGTTTGCCACTTGCGCAAAGCGCAAGGCAGGCGAGGGTACTGAGGACATTCGTGGGTTTGAGTGTTGTGTAGGTATATATCCAATGGACGCGTGCTCCATTGTGAATCACGACGTCGACAGCATTCTCGAGCATGTACCATACGTCGGGGCTGAGACCTAGCTTTTCTTTGGAGAGGTCTCCGGGTATGCATTTGAGTCGCGATTCCCAGGAGGCGGACCAAGTGCCGTACGCTACACAGGTGGTCTTGACACGCGCGAGTGCTTCAGAGGATGACTTGGCTCGGACTAGCGCAATGACCCTGATTCCGTTGTTGCGGTTGAGGATGTTTTCAAGGATGGAAGCACCCAGAAAGCCAGTCGCCCCGGTAATCATTATAGTCTCTGGTCTGACAGCCCCTGTTGGGAAAGAAGACGGAAGGCTCTTGGCCCGTAGGACTTCGCCATCAAGCGCGTAGTCCATCTCCGGTGGCGTACTGTCAGCCTTCTTCTCGCCATCCTCTCGAGCTTCTAGCGCAGCAGCTATGACACTTGAGAACTCTCGCAGTGTTGAATTCTGGAACAGAGTGTTCATAGAGATACTGATTTTTGCCCAGCGCTTGATGTCAAACAGAACCTCCTGCGCCCTGAGACTATGACCACCGCTGTCGATGAACCCATCATCTAGGTCAATGGTCTCGGCGGGAACGCCTATTCGCGAAGCCCATATTTGGCCTACAGTCTTCTGTATGTCTGTCCAGTGAGACCTCGCTACCCTGCCCGCTGAAGCAGCTGTGGCGAGCGCGGCGGCGTCTGGATAGGGTAGGATTTTTCGGTCGACTTTGTAGTTGGGCGTCAATGGTAGCTTTCTCAAAGGGATTAGGACGCTAGGCACGGCGTAGGAGGGAAGCTTCGTTCTCAACGCAGCTCTGACATCTTCTCGAAGTAGACGAAACCGCTTGAGCATACCCACCATGGTATCGTCTTCTGTATCGTCTGGCTGGCCTGTCTTTTCTAGCCACGAGGTCCATTCCTTCATGTCTGGCACCACGTATGACACAAGCGTAGGTTCCTATGGCGGAAATTAAGCTGATTGACTATGGGTACCCTTCCAACGCAGTAACATACCTCATCTTTGTCCCGTCTTACGAGCGTAACATTATCTCTGACCAACGGATGCTGCGAAATATGTGTGTCGATTTCTCCAAGCTCAAGCCTGAAGCCACGAATTTTTACCTGGTTGTCTGCCCGACTTCATCCGCTCGGTTAACAGTTTTCTACAGTTAGGAAGTTGTGACTCTCACCCAGTACACTCGACATCTCCACTCTCAGTATATCGTCCAAGATCGCCAGACCTGCCAAGTCATGAGTCTGCTATGTGCCTAGGTCTGGAATTTGTAAAAACTGCTATACCTGTAAAGTCGATCTCGAGGACCTTTCCAGAACTTGCGCCACGGCTCCTCGTGACCGGTAGAGTTCAACTCCTCACTTTCCTGCCACACATTGGGGTTTTCGAGAAAAAAGTTCGGGATGAACTTCTCCTTATTCAGATCATCACCCAAATAGCCCTCAGCGAGACCTAAAACACACATACTCAGCAAGCTGTGGGTCCGCATCGATTTCGTGATGTACATCGAACTTACCTCCGGCTCGGACGAAGATCTCTCCCTGTTCACCAATGCCGCATAGTCGAGGCTTACCTTGCTCCAGAGATGCGCGGTCGACAGCAAGCAATTGTACATTCTTCATACCTCTGCCTATTTCGAAATCAGTAATTGCTCCGTCCCCGTTCTTATGCAGAGATGGGAGATGTACCGGCTGGAATGACGTCAGGCATCCGGCCGAGGTATTCCGAGTCCTCATTCCGAGGAGGTATGGCATAATAACTAACGGCTCGTTGGGTTTCCGTTGTACCCTAGAATATAATTCGCCGTCAGTATTGCCTATTTGAGGGGGAATGTCAAGCCTTGGGACATGTTTCGAGGGTAGAAATTCCCGAGACGCGTCTCAAGACTCAGGATTTGCTCCAAAAGAGGAAATATGGTCTCCGAAGTTACGTACGAACATATTAATCTGTCAAGCTAGTTAGCGTCGGCTCGGCGCTGTGATGAGCGATGATAAGAGATGTGGGCCGTACGATTCTGCAATTATGAGCCAGTCTTTGGAGTAGACGACAGTCACGCTTGATGAGTTGATCCCCTACAAAGAATGCATTTCGAAGGCATGGAAACTCAGCACTGGCGCCACCAACTAGGATTTGGCCTGTGCAAGCGCTCCGAGTAAGCAAATGAAATGATTCAAGAAACACTGCAGTCAATTGGCCTACCCATTGCTGGAGTCAGATGGGTCACGGTTGCCTGGTATTTTCGCATCCACTCAGCCAGCCTCTCGTGCTCGATGTCCTCTTTGGCCGGTACAAGTAGTTTCGCTGGAATAATAATCAGCCTATATCTTAGTGTATGATCGGAAACATCTTACCTCCAAGAAAGAGAGGCGTGAAAACATCTCTTCCAAGCCATCAGCCATTTTCAGATTTTTCTGGATATCGTTGGTAAAAGGCATCACATACCTCTGGATGGGATCGTGGGCTATCCCTGACAGCATGGTGAATTGGTCTTTGTCCTGTACAAACGTCAAACCTTTCCATTTCTGAGTGACTGAAGAAACATACAGAGAGATTGAAAGTATCGGCCATCCAGGGATAGTAATGCCTACGAAGACTCAGGTTCACCACAACTTTACTCATTACGGAGAGAGCGCCTTACGTCAGAGAAAAGTGACGTCCTCGGACCTTTTTGACTGGTCAGCAATATAGAAATATACACCTTGCGACGGTTGAAGATACCCCTTTTGGTCTGCCCTCCGAGCCTACATGATGTCAGCCGCACTGAAAAAGACAGAGTATCGAAACCACAGCTTACCAGATGTAAAGCTAAGCGTTGGTGTAGAATCCGGGCCAACAACCACGCCAGGGTGCGTGCTCTTCAACGACTGTTGTTCCAGTAAGACATCCTTGCCATCTCGGTCAAGCGATCCTCCTCTGACGCTGCCGTCATTAAGCAATTCCAGAGCAGGCACTTCAGCCCGCAACTCGAGATTCTCCTGGATCCATGTCCGTACTTGAGCCGAGAGCCTGCCTTCTTCTTGGGAAGCCTTTTCGATCACAATGAGACCTCTAGGCCTTGCAACGTCCAAATATACTATTTGTCTATCAGGAGGATATCTGCGCAATTTTTAGGACTGTTCAGGGAAAAAATCTTGGAGTCCTTTTCATTTCGATCTTGGGGGAGTCGTACGCAGGATCGACCACGCTGAAGGTAGCCCCAGCTTTCAAAACCGCGAGTATCGCAATGCATAGGTCCACCCCCCTGTAGGCATAAATCATAATAACTTCGCCCCGTTCAATGCCATGCTGCAAGAAATGATGTGCAAGGACATTGGAAGCATAATGGATCTGTTGATAGGTAAACTCCCGCTGCGGCGCTGTCCTTGATGCGGTCTCGACTACACAGTGGCGATCTGGGAATTTGGTGGCATTTTCTGCGAACCGATCATGAATTGCCCCTTCGAAATGAGACCAATGCAGATCCGCTCTGGGATCTGGGAGCACAGTCACGGGTCTCTGTCCGTTCTCCATTCTTTTCAGTTGCCTTGGAAGCTCTCAAAGACCGCGTCGTTGGGAGTATGACATCAACTATGTGGAGACTGAGATTACTTCCCGTTCTAGCTTCATTAACTCCCCTGTGTTTGTAGGAGACCTTCGCTGGACGGTTACTCGCATAGAAAATTTCCCAGATCGAAGGGAACATTGAAATCTTGAAGGCAACTCTGCCGAGGGAGGTGATACCGAAGTTTATCCATGCGGCTCCCTCGGCTAAACCTTTGGACGCCAAGACATCGAACAACTAGTGCAAGCTCAAACAGCATGCTCATTCTGACCGAGCGCCCATGATCCCCAAGCCTGGATCCAAACCCGACACGGACAGCGCTGCAAACGATCTACAAGCTCAGGCTCAGGGTTACGTCGTCGGGAACGACAATGGCAGTTGACATCTGGCCTGGAGACCTCACCCCCAGGCACCATTTATGCGTTCTGAAGGAAGCAGTGTCTCTACTACGACTGCTTCCGCAATGATGACGAAATATATACGCCAGTGCTCGCACTCTCTCTTCCGCAACGTGCAGACACTTACGATTACAATCTCATGACGATGCCTTCGCAAATGGCCGCGATGAGGCTGTGGGTGTAAAGTCCGTGAGATCGACGATGGTGAGTTTGCAGGCTGGATTTTTTTCTCTTCTTCATTTTGTCGGAGCTGGTTACTTGATGGTATCTTTAAACTCCGGGTCAGCATGGAAGCCAACTACAGCGTTGGCTCAGATGATCACACCGGCTCTAAGCGCTGGATCAGGCGAACTGTGATGGATCATTGACTCTGTATGGGCAGAAAATATGGGAGTTGATCATGATTAGACGACCAATATTCCATTATGAGAATAATGGACTGATGGCAAGCGGAGGGCAGAGATGCCCGACATGTGGTAGAAGGTAGTAATAGCGATAATTGTATTCTCAAAGTACACTTGAAAGACCCACAGCGCGCTCGAAGTAAGATGTGGTGTAGTCAGCGTTGCAAGCGCAGACAGTCCCGAGGACGCAAGCGGGTCTTCTTCTCTCACTGACCGTCCATCTCCGATGCTGAATGGATAACGACGCTCTTCGATACGTCTTGCTTAAAGCCTTACTCATGAGTGGAATACCAAAGCCTCAGGGTAGAATATAGATTAGAGGGTTTCCTCGAGCTGCAAAATTTGAAAACAATCTTCGGGCGGCTTGACCGTAGAGCTCTCCCACAGAGCGCGGGCTTTCGCAACGGACTTCTTCCGTCCCATCGCCTCTTACGCTTTCATCCTGGCATCTTCTGCGATATGAATCAAGAACCGATCGAACGTCTTGGCGGCATCAAACCCTCCGCTCTCCTATCCTTCCTTCCCGCAGTGTTCAGCGAAGCTTATCCCCCACCGTAGATGAATGCCCACATGAAGACACCCTAGTCACAGTACTCTGCCCGGCGGTCGATGCCCTCGAGTACGCCATTTGAAAGCAGTAAGATATGGTCTTAGGCGTCACTGCGCAGGGTAGATGTTTGACGGTGGCTTCTCGCTGCCGAGGATTTTGGATACGCTCAATGCGACGAATCGTTCATCTCTGAGGATCTAAACGATTTCGCGTTATAAGTAGTGCAGTACGCTTCGTTGTTGAATGAGATATGTGGTACGTTACCAGAACGCTGATTGCAACTAAAGAAAAGCACATCATCAATGTGAGAAGATCAGCAGGTTGATTCGAACGCTAGAGAAACCATCCTCATCATCAACAAGAATGAATCAGCACCTTGACTCAAACGGTGGAGAAACCATGCTCGTCAGCAATGTGAAAGACCCAGCACATTAGTTCAGGCGTCAAAGGCATGCCCCACTTCATGAGTATGAACAACCACGTTGCTTCGAACGCTAGATCTACACACTCTCTTCTTCAACCCCGTATCCTTCATCGAGAGCATGAATTAAAGACATGTAGTGCCGAGTATTTTTGTTATATCAGTCATCTCTTAACAACTTTTATCCCCCCGTCGTTATCAAAGCCACTGTGATACGTACATCAAACAAAGTGCTAATCGCACCTCAATACAAAATGCCGGAAGGCCTGCACATAGCAAGTGTGACAGTGAGGCGGCCGGGAGGGGGATGCGATCCTAGCGTGACTCTTCGCCTAAGGCCCATCATAATCTAGCACCCTTCATCGATAAATTTGTTTGTTTTGTTGTCGGGCTTCGCACAATTGAAACCCCTTTATAAGCTTGATAAAGCCGCGCCTTCACTACTTTCCATATCGCTGAAGACGGGTGAGCGACTGTGTGTACATTTCATGGCTGAGATAAGACCTATGGCCGGAATTGAAGCCCCGAGGCGATTGAGTTGCAAATATTCAGGGTGGTGGGCGGGCGCCTCCGGTCATTGGGTACGCAGAAATGCAGCGCGCCTCGACTGACCAATAAACACAGCCATGCTGTGCGGGGTTCGTCCCTCTTGCATGTCCATTCAAATAATTGCGATGTGCATCAATCTTCCTTTTGCGGCTCTGTGCCTATGGGTGCCAGGATAGAACAAGGCTGCCATCCATAAAATCAAGCAAGAACCAATGCGCCCGGGCGTTTCGTCCCATGAGAAGGCTGAAACTGCATCACGAGCGCCCAGGCTCCTTTTCCTCTCCCTGCACAACAACCCAACGCCCTTTTCGACAACACCCTCACTCCGGCGCAAACGCGCTATCTCCTCGATGGTGCAGATCTGCGGCACTTTCTGCGGGAGAATTTTCCCGATGTGAAGGATTTCAGGATCTCCGTGAGGGCCGCCCGACTCAGCTGGGGGAGACGAGGTGGTGTCATCAGCTGATTCGTCGTACGTGTCGCAGACGAAGAATGGCAGGTGGAGTTTCCGCGCTCCGGAGGTGGTGTCGGAGTCGACGGTGAAGTACGTTGCCTATGTATCTGGACAAAAATCGATGGAAGCCTTATCTTTTGTTCAAGTCAGACTAACGAGCAATAGGAGTTGGACGGCAAGAGTGCAAGCGCGCATGGACCAGGAGAAGAAGGTTAGGAAGGAGAAGGCTGCGAAGTCGGACGGTGTGGGCGAGGGATCGTCGTCAGGAGCCACGGGAGCCTGAGGAGGCGCATTTCAAATACTTGATGTACCATGATGTAATGATCTGTTAGCCAGCTTCTGTTTTCGTGCGTCTGCTTCGGTTGTAGCAGCACCACGGAGTAGGCTGAGGAGGTTGGGACATATGATTGGTCATGCTTATGCATGATCGTAGACGAGGCTACGTAGCCTCGATTATAGATACCCAAAGGCTTCAGCGCAAATCGTCCTTCGCATCAAGACTTATTGCACTATTTGAGAGTTTCCGTGTTCCGCTTCATCGACTCACGTAGATGACGCGAAGATGGTCGCTCATTTGACTAGTCTTCCTGGAGTCACCGGACACCACGAGTACCCGGATGGTCTTGAGCATCGGTCAGACGACATCAGCAGCAATATTTCCACATCCATATTGAAGCAGAGATAGAGCGAATCGAGCTCCACACTGTTCTCCGATGAGACACGGTTACGTGTCTATGACTTCGAGGAGAGGGAGGGTGATCAATGAACCATGGATTCGCCCATCATGACCGGAGGCTGATCTTTAGTCCATAGGTGTTTTCGACTGCAAGACGAGGTTGATGGAGCAAGCAGTTGGTGTCCGACAGGTTTCGAGCTCAACCAATGGAGACGTACCCAGGATCAGAATAATGTCGGCATCTGTTTCATGATTGCATGATCCAAAAACCTTCGAGTTTTTTAACCTCGAAGTATTAGCTCCCTTAATTCCGCAAATACCATCTCCCCACTGCGCATTACGGAGGACCTGATGAAAGAGGACCTGAAGAAAGAGAAATTGATGGGGTAGGGTAAATTACAAATTCATACCCCAAAACCTTGAATCCTTACAAATTCATACCCCTAATTACATTTTCATACCCCTCCACCAAATCTTGGGGTATGAAAATGTAATTTACCATTCTTTGGGGTATGAATTTGTAATTTATTAAACTACGTCTTTGAGTGCCCGGCACTTAACGCCCCTAAAGAAGCCCCGGGAGCCTTAAAAAGCCCCTAGAAAATTGAAGCCTAAATTTATCGCGGATTGGGGTGAGTTAGGGATTTAAGAGCTCGCCTCAGCCCCGGAGCGAGGTTTCGACGAGTTACACGGCGAACCCTAGAGGTCTTCAGTTCGGGGCTCCCGGGGCCAGCCCCCGAAGACCTAACCTCAGCATACCCCAAGGAATGGCAAATTACCGATTCATACCCCATTGGGGTATGAAAATGTAATTAGGGGTATGAATTTGTAAGGATCCAAGGTTTTGGGGTATGAATTTGTAATTTACCCGATGGGGTATCATGTTGATTCAGCATTCCTACCAGTTCTATTCTCCTTTGGAGATGAGCCTCATCTTGCCGAGAGCGGTGCAATCAACGTCGCTACAGAAAGCTTGGGAGCATACGCCCTAGATGCAAAGAACCAATATACGGTCACAGAAACAAATAAAGGAATGGAGATTGTCACGAGAAAGACCAACTTTCTCACAGAAAAGACAGCAGAATTCGCCGAGAAATCGACAATGGACAACACGGTGATCAAATGGATCACTATCGTATCCCTCTTCTATCTTCCGGGTAGCTTTGTGACTGTAAGTTCGGGGCTCGGCACGTTGATTTGGATAACAACTGACTGCTGCAGAGCTTATTTGGAATAAATTTCTTTTATATTCAATCAACAAACCATGAGAATAGTGGTTGCAGAAGACCGTTGGGTTTACGTTGCGGCTGGGCTTCCACTGACGCTCCTGACGCTACTAGGTTATGGAGTGGTCGTTCTTCTGGTCCAGCCGCCTGAACGAAGATGGCATTGGTTAAGCCAGAGACGCCTTGGGAGGAACGATCAGATGTCCATGACTGAGGTGATAAGCGTTATGAAGGAGTGCTGCCTTTGAAGTAGGTCCGCGTTGCTATAGAGGTACCATTTCTTGCTCTTGTGCTAGTTTCTTCTATGCTGAATGATAAGCGCCATTCATAGTCGATTTTGTACTTAACGACCTCCGCCATGTTTCTCTTGAACGGGCATAGAGTAATTAATTCAGTAGATTCGCTTTGCGCAGCTACAGCAATAGCAGTGTTCTCCCATTTGCTTCCAACCGCGCCATGTGTGGTGGCTTTCTTCGAAATCCATTTGGGTCGATCTTGTTCGGACGTGAGAAGACGTTCCTCGAATCGAGCTTCTCGGCGACGCGACAGGATAGATGGTTTGACAACGTATATGAGAGAATTACGCGATGTGATACAAGCGTGAAGAAGACCGGGGATCGCCAAGTCCTGCCTCGACTTGGGGTTTTGGTCGGTCTGGTCTTTCGGCTGTACGATAGAGGTCAGCCCGTAGTGCCTTTCATAATCGACGCAGGCTGGAGCATTGGGATAGCACCAGAGGTAAAAGTTTGTAGAAGCATCGTCAACCTGAGATAAAATCAGTACAAATCTCGGGAGCTGATATACCCTGCGATAGAAACTTGACCCACAGAGGTCGATCGACAGCTGGCTGATCTCCCAAAAGTAGAATCGGTCACACCCTTGATCAATTGGGATAGCCCATGCACAAAACCATCTACCGTTAGCACTGAAAGCGAGATTCTTGATGATGAGCCCTTTTTCGAGCGGGAAGGGTCTGCCCACGCTCACTCTGTCTGAGAGTGAGATAAAGAACAGGTTTTGTGCTCATAAAGGAGACTGACGACAGATCATATATAAGGAGGTGATTCTCGTAGGCGCCGGCAGTCATGGCCCCGGTAGATATGGTGACGTCTGAGACCTGGACTCCATGAATTCCATGGTCGAATTCCCAAACATTTCGGCCATCACGCACGTCAAACACGACGGCCTGTCTTCATTGTTATCGGCAGTTCTTATATTGCTGGGAATTGATCCTAGGTCGGGCAACTCACGTGATTTTGGAAGACTGGGCCTCGTTCCGTTCCATAAATTACAAGGTACTGTGAGCCGATACACAGGCCGGTCCATTGAACCTTGCGCTCTAATTGTACAGAGATCTTTGGCGTCTCTATGTCACCGCTGGTGGCATAAACGCGACATGCATGCATAAAGAGAAGAGCAGTCTGGTCTCCCGAAGGTGAAAGGGCTAACGCTATGATTTTCTCCTATCCTCGACGGGAAGACTAATCCTTGATATTGCCTCTGGAGAACATTTGACGCTGAAGGGTCGATCTTGCAAGCTTTGCGTCCCCAATCTGTGAGAGAGATGAGTAGGAAAGGGGAAAGGCGGTTCTGGACACAGTGCAATTATAATCGAGCTAGAACCATTCGTCAATACAGAATCGCGATCTTGTCGGCCGAAGCCGTCACGAGAGTCAAATTGCGATCCTGCATGTTCTGACTGCCGCGAATAGGATATGATCGCTTCCGAAGTCGGTAGCGAAGCGGTGTCTGTATCAAATGAAGTTTCGCTGTCCACGGAGACCTCTCCCACATCTTTGCTCTCCACTTCGTGCACCTGGCCGAACCCAGCCGTGTTATTGTCAGGCCGCCCTGACGCTGACTCGGAAACAAAGGCGGTGGTATCTGCTTCCGTCAGCATAGTGCTTGGCCTCGTCACTAAGGATAACGCTCTCCAACGATCGATCAGCAACGGTGGGAAGTGGTGGATAGCGGCTTCCTTACCTTGCAGAAGATTCGATAGAGCACACACAACGGATCCGATTTTTGGGCGATCTTGTGGATCACATTTCAAGGTCGACTCAATGATGTCGATATAACATCGAACCCAACGCGGATTCTTTGCACTCCGCTTCTGGTCCTTGAGCCATTGTCTCATCTGCGTTTTCAATTTCGTATTGGTACTACTGACGTTTGTTTCATAGAAGTAGTCATCTCCTCCACAGTTTCTCAATGTTCGGACTTCTTTCCAGAGTTCCGTTCGTCCTAGCGCAAACGACAGAAATCTAATAGTATGCAGCCAAAGGACCATATGTCGCACTTGTGTCCGTCAATTCCAAGTTGCTTAATTTCGGGTGGTTGGTAGGTCCCGCAGCCTCGTCGCGGCTCGTCGAGATAGCTGCTGGCTGTTGTACGCGCAGATTGACCCTGTGATACTTCCTGGCTGAGAGCGAATAGAGACACCCCAAATTCGGACAGCATCCATATACCAATTAGTGAACTTGGATCCTCAGCAACGAGAACATTTTCTGGTTTGAGATCTATGTGCGCCAGAGAACGATAGAGACTTTGGGAGGCCTCGTTCCCTTCATGGAGCCACTGTACCGCAGAAGCAAGTTCGTATAGCTCTTTGATCAGCGCCGCACCCACCCGTCATCTTTCAAATCTGGGAACCTGATGTCTAAGTTGTATAGCTTTTCGGCTTCCAATGTGTCGCGTCTGGGCTTGAAATCGTGGCGGAGGAACACATCAAGATCAAAATGCTCGGCCATGGGAAGCAGTATCATGACATTGCGTCGGTGTGCTAGGGCAGCAATATTTTCCATGATCCGCGTATCCTCTTTGGGCTCTTTGACCCATCCGAGTCTTCGAAATGCTCTTCGAAAATTCCCTGCCACATGGAATGTCTTGCATGCCACGTACATCTCCTGTATTCATTCAACGGTCACAATAAACTTTGGCCTTCACAGCCTGATGTCACTATATACCTTCACGTGAGAAGTTTTCCTGTGTCACGAAAACCGTGGCGGGCAATGACAACCTTTCTTACCTTCCCAGACGCCCCTTCTCTCAATGGCAACTCGTCCTCCGTGAACGGAAGTGGTCGATCTGCCGCAACCTCTTGAATAGAAGAGACTTCACGCTCTTCGATTGTGACGGGGCAGAAGGCGTATGTATTTTCGCGGAAGCTGATAGCATATTCCTTCAGGAAAGCCAACCGTTCGTTGGCCAATGGCAGGTTTGGATCATCAAGGTCATGATACGGGCGCTGTAAGAAGTGTTTGCGAAACCCGGACTTGTCATGACTGCAGACACCGGGCCAAGCGATCAGGACCAAAATAGATAAAACCTCCAGGTAGCAATCGCGAATGGTTTGGCCGTGACACACTCCATCTAGCATACGAATCCGCATAGCCTCAATACTGGGCGCATCATGCTGTTGAGGCAACATCAAGTCGGAGCCTCGGGACATTTTGGTGACAGTACTGCCGGCATTTGCAGCAGACTGGAATGAACGTACAGTAGGTTCCTGACTGCATAGAGTTGCGGCTTGCGTAGGGCGCAACACGGGATGCCCATATCAGGCTCAGCTAGTCTCGATAAAAGGCATCGTACGCAAGCATGCTGCAGGATCAAGATTAGGATGCATATGCAAGCGAGTATTATCACTGCCCTGTTTGGTGTGAACAGACGTAATTCTGCATTGACTGATTGGTTAGTTGATTGCCCGTTTCATTATTGCTCCTGAGTCGTAGGGTTAGGATCGCCACTTCCTCACTATTTGTTGGGTAATGTATGATTTAGAATGACGATAATTGAGAAACAGTGAGAGACGTCGAGATTCTCTTAAATTTTCGAGATGGATAAACTGTCAAATAACGCTTTACCACTTTGAGAGCTAGCGGGCTACATCAGCACCGAAGTTTATCGCGGTGTCGCGTCAGTGATCGCGTTTCGATTCTTCCTCACGATACCCTCTAATAATAAGTACATTGCGAATACTACATAAACCAAAGCGGACCATGGCCTCCTCAGCTAGATCTCGACCTTCAGCAACTTCCAATCGACAAAGGTCAGGACCTACCCCCCTTCCCACATACCAGCCTCCCCAACATCCTCTGAACGAGAATGCCATACGCGCCGTCCAGGACCTCCCTCGCAATCACAAACTCGACTCTCTCAAAGCTCGGCTGAATGCCGCAAACAATCACCTAGCAGGGGCAGCGGTTGATATCAACGATCGCTTGGTAGCCCAGATTGCCCTACACGAGAAGTCTCGGGCCAGACGAGAGAAGCAGGGATCCCAGGAAGACAATGAAGAAGAAGAGATGGCCATGGATGAGAAGCGGCAGCAGACAATTGAATTGACCGGTAGATTGGAGTCGGGTGTCCGCAAGATAATCGATGCAAAGTTCGAAGTAGAGGGCGTTGAGAAGGCCCTCAGAGAACTCGAGACAAATGTCGCGAACAATCGAGGTGCTATCGCGCCTACCCAGAGCACGCTTGGGGCGAGTCAGTTCAGACCAAACCGACGAAGACGAGGTGGGGACGCGGACGCTGAAGACAGCGAAGATGATACCGAGTCCGCTGGAGAGAACGGAGGCGCTTTGGATTTCATCAAGCGGAAGGTAGCAGAACAAAATTCGACATATCAGAACGAGACTATGTCCTTTCGGTGAGTGAATTGTGGTAACTTAAAGTCTATTCTCTTGCTTACATCTCACTAGCTACGCGCAGAACAACGACTACGTTGGCTTTAAGAAGCTCGTCTACGACGCTCAATTCCCGGGCGACGATGCACCACTAATGCCACACTCATCCACATGGTTTTCTGATCAGTCTCCGAATATGTCTGACCGTAATACGCGCGGAGCGGCGGCAGCACCAGGCAGCCAAACAGCTGGCAATGACGATGATCTGGCTGTAGCTTCTGAGCGAATTAGTATCAAGTGTCCGATCACATTGCTACCTATGAAAGATCCTGTTACGAGCACCAAGTGCCCCCATAGTTTCGAAAGAGAAGCCATATTGAGCATGATCGATGCCAGCGACGTAAGAGTTGATGGAAGTGGTAGACGAGGAGCAGGTGGCAAGAAGGCCATGCAATGTCCCGTGTGCACAGTCGTAAGTTGCCCTTTACATTGCTGCTATTCACCCGTTCTCCAGGCTCAGCGCTAATCAGTTATGCCACAGATGCTCACAGCCGACGACGTCGCGGCCAACCCCGTCCTTGTCCGCAAAATTCAACGTATACAAGCTGCCGAAAATGCTCAAATCCAGGACGACTCCGATGACGATGACGTGAGAGCACCGACAAGTGGGCGGCTCCGACCTGAAGAGATCGGTAGCTCGCCAGCAAGAACCCGCACAACTCAAGTCAAAAACGAACGACGAAGCCAAGCGCTGAGAAACAAGAGCAGAGAGGTATCGATGGTGCCAAATTCACAAGTACAGGGGCTCGTAAATGAGGGGCAGGGAAGACCAAGCAGCTCCGCGGCAACGCAAGTTGTTGATCTCGAAGAAGACGATGAGGATGAGGATGCGGAGGAATAGAATGTGAGATTCTGAGACAAACGACTGCTCTTGCGGAGACGAGCTCGAGGAGCATTCGGCAAAAGCATCAGCTCTTCATATCTCAGAAAGACATTTGGATGTAGATGCCTATGTGCATTTGAGCTGCTAAAAATTGATACCCACAAAGATCCGCATATGGTCAAATGCTCCAACGCTGAGTCATTTGCCGCTTGCAGTTCTTCTCGAAGCTGTCATAACAAAACGCCGACCAGACCCAACGACGCTAATCCCAATCGACGCATGTATCCATCCCATCATTTGGTGATGACGCCAAGCCAATCAGCAACAATCAGCGTTATCATACTATATGAGGCTAAGGTCAACTTGTGGCTTCAAATGTGCATAAAGATGTCCATGGCAGGGAAAAGGTAGGGCAGGGTAACTCACGCATGCGGCGCAATCCTAACATAATACGTCCCAAACCCCCTATAAAACCTCAACAGTCCTTCCTCCTTCGCCACCTTCCGAAAACAATCCGCCATCCCACTATACGGTACCTTCCCGTCCTTCCCTTTTTGCTGCTTCTGCAACCTCGTCTTCACAAAATCAAACGGCAGTGAGAAAAAGCTAGCAAAGAATCCCGCAATCGCACTCGCCGTCAGTGTCTGCGTCTGCATCGACAATTGCGTCTTCGCCTTCAACTGCGTCTTTGCCTCGGAGAAGAACGCCAATTGCCCAAAATTCAACGCCATAGCCCTCACTACCGTCGGGCTCGCACCCGCCCAGAGTGCATATACGCCCTCGGTCTTTGTTATCCGCGTCAGGGCGTCTACGACGCTTTTGTAATTCGCCCGCATCTCCTTCGGTTTGAGCCCGTCACTCTGCATCCGTATGAGAGCCAGGTCCGCCGGATTCCCCACCATGGCCGCCAACCCGCCCGCCGTCAGCCCCGCGCCCGCTCTCTCCTTGAAGCCGATGCCCTGCCCCTTGGTCTCCGCCCTCGCCTTCAGCGCCGTCATGAACGTGTCGAAGAACCCGAGCCTCGCGGTCGTGTACACCGCTTGCCGCAACAGTCCGGCGCTCAGGCCCGTGTATAGATCCATCACCCTGCCTTGGGCTATGATGTCCTTCGTCACGGACAGCGGTGTCGCACGAGGACCCGTTTTTATCCCTTCGCCGGCTAATTGCAGCCGTACTTTGATCATGTCGATGGGTTGGATGCAGGTGGTGGCCGTCATGCCGGCTAGGCCGCCGTTTGCGAAGGGGAGGGCGGCGCGGGTGTAGGGTTGCTGGAGGATGGACGCGGCGACGGGGGAGGTTTCGGAGGCCGGTTTGGAGAGGGCGGAGGTGGTTTTGTTGGAGGCGGATTTGGCGGCATCTACGGCTTTGGACATTGTGATGGCTATGGAGTGGAGATGGGGGATTGGATGTGTGATTTGAAGGGAGGTGGAGGAGAGGGGAGGGGGCTGTCCGAGGGCTGGTTGGGGAGTGTCGGGGGGGTCAATCGGGAGACTCTCAATGGATTCGGTGTTGGTGTTTGCTGATATTCGCTGTCAGCATTCCCTCATGATTACTCCGGTCCATGGCCCATGCCCGCAGCTGTGAAACGAGATGAGACCCTGCTGGTATCCGAAAGTCCCGGACCAGAGGAAAAGGAAAACGGTGGAGGCGTGCTGTAACGTACTTGGGAAGGCCCTGCCCCGCAGAGCCCACCTGGCCAATAACGAAAATAATCGATGCCGCCTCGGGAATTACCTGATGCTGTTCACAGGCCGTGTCCTCGGTGAGCGAAACGAACGCATGGGACGGACATGGGTATTTCTATGTTGATAGAGATTTTGTTATTGAGGTAGATGGATCTATATACAATCGACTGACTGCGCCTGCTGCTATCCCATAAGCCCCTCCCTTCGCGTTGACAAGTGCGCCCAATAATGATGGATGGTCTCGTGCGGGGAAAATGGGCAGCCGTTGGAATATCGTGGCGGGCAAATGTCGGGTAAATATTCATGCACAAGGATAAGGGTGCATAAAAGAAAGCATAAAGATATTTCCGATTATCTCTTCACATCGTCTACTCTTCATTACTCTGCAGAGTAGTCGGTGAGCTTGGATGGTAGGCGCGGAAATTCTGTGTCTAATCATGAAACTGCTCCATGGAACTGCTCTATGAAAAACGCTTTACGACGAATATGTGTGTGACCGGTCTGTGAAAAGTGAGGGGGATATCTTCTACTGTCCCCAAAATCCCACATTCGACGTTCCTTCCCAGTTCTTCATCCTGTGGTCAACAGTTCTTCAAATGTGTTGTCAGTTTCCTCGTTTATTTGACTGTCTGAAGGTAGAATGGCATGTTTATCCTTCGCCCTGCGATCATTTGCTTTTCGTGACTCGAAGTACGATTAAATAAATAAAGATTCGGAAGTCTCAGACAATGTTGTCCAGGCTTCGTCACAGTACATGCGAGGGATAAAGATTCGGTAGGAATCATATCGTCTTCTCTGCAAAATCTACTTGCTCAAACTTCTTGGCTGCTAAGCCCGTGTTAGAATTATTCTCATTATATTCCATTTTAATATATTCAAATTTCCATACCTACAAAGATGACTCTTGCCTTTGCCCCAATCATGTCCATTCCATCTATCCACCATCTCCCCCTAACCTCCCCATCACCTTTGATTCCCAAGCAATGGAGTCTCCACACCCTTACTGGGCAGACCACGACCACTCCGACGAGCATCTGAACCTGATATTCACCACTTTTCCCCTTACACTGGAACCACCTCACCCTTACCGGGCCGACCATGACCGCTCCGACGAGCATCTGGACCTGATGTACACCACAGTCCGACAACAGCGCTCGCTCTCCCCTCCCCGCTCCGTCTCGCGCGATTCCGGCTATTTCAGCCCATCAGAATCGCACTCCCACGCTCGAGGAAAGCTCCGCACCATCACTCTGACGCGGATGCCTCCAGTGACACCTCCACTGTTTGCAGAAGAGGAGGATCAGACCTTGCTAGCATGTCGAGCTGAGGAACGGCCATGGAGCTCAGCATGGTCAGCTTCTTCGGAGAATTTGGTGTCCATCAGCGACCTTGAAAGCGAGGAGAGGTACTTGATAGGAAAGTCAAGGCCCAGCGGGGGCAACATGTTTACCCGCGGCCTGCGAAGAGCTTGCGAATGCGTCGGCGCGGCGGTTGTGGCTACTGGGAAGAAGAAGGTCGGGCCGACCGGCTCGGGAGCTGAGAAAAGTTGTGGAATTGGGGGTTTGGATGGCGCGGTGGAAGATTCGAACGTGGCGAGTGGAAGTGCGGGTCTCGAAAAGTCGAGCGCGCGTGTGGAGGTAATGCAGAAGATCAAGAGGACGCTGTGGTGTAAGAAAGGGCCAGTACAGTTGAAGCATGCTAAGGTACGGTCTCCGTTAGATGAGTGAGTGAGTAAGTGAGTGAGTGAGTGAGTGAGTGCAAAGTGCTGGAAACCAAGTCTCAATAAAGTCAACATGCTGTTAGAATTGGCGTTACTTTTTTTCCCGCACCTCCCTCACACGACCTACCCCAATTCCCCGACTCATGGTTACTACATTGATATGGTAGGACATCAGAACATCAAACAACGAACTCATCATAATGAATTCTCTACCCCAATACCGTCCCTCATGCATGCACAACCCCTCGTATCACCCATCAGCCGCAGCTCACCCATACACACACACACACACACACTAATGCAGCTAGCACCACGCAGCGCGTCCTGCAAACCCCACGACCCCCTATCGTTTCGCTAGACTCGCCAAACCTGCAGCCCGCATCCCTCAGCCTCACAGGACTCGAGGAGGCTGCGCTGCGCTCTTACCTTCTCAGCCTGGTCTCCAGGTAAACTTCCTCCATCCTACATCCCCCGCCGCGACCGCCCACCATCTCTCGTAGGTACTCCGCGGACTGTGGAGCGAAACCCGAACGGCGAGTTCGTGCACAGCACGCAGTTGCCATACTGCATACATACATATATCGAAGCCTAAAATCTTGCCTTGCCAGTCCGCTCCATCGCCCAACCAAAACAAATTGGCCGGCCAAATGTTCAGCAGGAGCAGAAGCCTCCACAACGGCTCACCCGACGGCCTCGGCCTCGACGTCCTCTTCCCCCCCCGCCGGCACGAGCGACGAAGATGCGATCGTGGACATCGTCTTCGTGCACGGACTGGGTGGGTCGAGGTACGGCACTTGGGCGAAAGACGGCGTCCTGTGGCCGCGGACGGTACTCGCGCCGGACTTTCCGACGGCGCGGATCTTGACGGTGGGTGGGCGGGAGTTGGGCCGTGGACTGTGCTGATGCTGACGTTACGGGTGCAGTGGGGCTACGGTGCAGATGTCGTTCGGTTCTTCGGGCCGGTGGGACGGTCTAACGTGCAGGATCTTGCGAAAGATCTGAATAGGGATCTTCTGCAGGAGCGGTTTGAGGAGTATCAGGTGTGTGATCAAAGTCTTCTTCTACGTCCTACGGCTTTCGCACACGCTATTGAACGCTAGCTGATAAATGTAGATTTCCAGGCCGATAATCTTTGTTGCTCACAGCTTGGGAGGCTTAGTTGTTAAAGATGTAGGTCTCAATAGTCGAGTTGGTGCAGAGGCAAGATTGCTGATCGATGTGGGAAACTACTAGGCCCTATTTATGTCATACCGCGAAGGAGTCAAGGAAGCTCGTGAAGGCGCCGATAAGCGCCTTGCTGCAATTAAATCTTCCACAAAGGGTGTGCTATTCGCAGGAACACCTCATCGGGGTGCGGACAAGGCAAAATGGGCAGCCACTGCTACCACTCTGGCGTGGTATCTACAAAAGGATCATTCTAAAGAGGTCCTCAACACTCTGAAGCGAGGATCCGAAGTCCTCGAAAGACTGCAAGACAGTTTCAAGGATATCCTGGAGCACTTCGGCGTATACACATTCGTCGAAGACGTCGGATATCCGAAAGTTGGCAGGATTGTGGAAAAAGACTCTGCGATCATCGGCTGGCACGAAAAGGAGTACCACATGCATGCAAACCATTGCGATATGGTCAAGTTTGCCAGCGATAAGGAAAACGACTACAAGAAGGTCAGATTTGCTATTCGAGAGATCATAAAGGACCGCATCGAGGGAGGGCGTCCAGAAGCGAACGGTATGCTCACGGTTGCCGCCCCTGGAGGCGATGCAGTCACCATGGATTGACTGGTTTGGGATCCTGGCCGTGATCAGCTGTACCTAACATTCTTCTGACTTTGTAGTACAATCTGATCCTTCAAGTCGCAGCAACAGCCGCCAGTGGCTGAGTGACGTGCCGCGCTCAAATTCTCAGCATATCAGCCGTAGTCAACAACAGGGTCTTCTAGCTACTGCTAAGGAGAGTACTCTCGAAGATATCTTATCTCGACATGGCAAGCCAGCTGGGTGGTCTGCGAACAGCGGAGAGTCTATGAACAACCATCTGGCAGAGCTGAATGAGGGCCAGAATTTCTGCAGAGGAGATTTTAGTGCGTCGTCCTTATCCTTCAAGAACAATATGTGTATCTGCAGATCACACTGTCATATCACACTGACCCATGGTTCCCACAAGTAGCCAAGAGCATAGAGCAGGGCACACGCTTTCTAAAGCAAAGAGACGGAAACCTTGAGCAAAACCTCGTCACCGCTCGGACACACTTTGCACTTGCGAGAGGTGTTTTAGGGAGGTCACCAAATCCAGATCCGGCAGGCTTCACACAAGTTTACTATCAACTCATGAACGTCGAAATGGAAATGAGTTATAATCGAACCTTGAGTGCAGAAGATAAGATGTCGCACCTGCAAGCTGCTGAATGCTATGGGGTCGAGGCTTCTTCTTGGGCCCGTAATGGAGGTACTGCGGGATGTGTGACGCAAGTGATGCTCCAACAAGCTGTTTTAAAAGGCAGAAGAGCAGAGGTTGATGTTAGGCTGGGTTTGAGTCCTCAGGAGGCCCGCCGGCAGAAGGATGAAGCCATTGCAGCGATCACAGGGGCGCTGCAAGCGCTGCAGTTTTTTAAAAGACCGAACCTCGCAAAGACTACCGTCTGGGCTATGAATTGGCGAAATCGGTTTGAGCTTTCCAATCAGCGAGTGTAAGCCCAAGGTAGTCTCAAATCGGAGAAAATAAAACAGGCGTCAAAAGACTACCAGCGTGATCCTTTCTTCTCGCCGCTCTTGCCTCATGTCCAAAGTTGCTCTTGCCTTGGGCTCAAACCTGAAGCCGCCATTGCGTTAGATCTGTCAGACGTTCGTGGTGGGAACGACGGCGGCATGGACGCAAACTGATTCGATAAACTCTGTGGCGACACATTGGAAGGGTGACCACAAGGCGCACTTGACGTTTGATCGAATCCACCACTGTTCACCGACCATGGTGGTCTTGAGTCTACTTGAGATGCAGCTTCTGGAGCTGGAGCAGTCGAGACCCGTGCGCTACCAACATGATGTGACGCGGAGTCGCTCGGATTCAACTCTAGAAGCTGGTTCACTGGCGGCGCATAGCCGGTGTTGGAGGGTAGGCCCATGTGCGATGGAACACCGTTGAGGTAATTGAGGCGATCTTGCCGAAAACGGTCTCTTTCCTGCCTAAGTCGCTCCCTCGATTCTCTTGTAAGCCAGAGGTATAGAAGCCAGGACAAAAAACCAATGAGTAGTCCACCGACAACAATCGCGGCTATCACCGCCACTAGGGCTAATCTGCTAAACATTAGACGAACTGCTTGACGATACCATGGACGTGGTCGAACTGCTTGAAGAGGCGGTTCAATATAGAGTCCGTAGAACCGGTAGAGATATCAGAAGCTGTGCCAGGCGAATTGCTTAAAGCGGAGTCGGAAGATCTGAGAAGAGATCCACATTCGCGCTGCCTGTATTGCGTGATCCTATGTCGGAAGAACCCAGAAAAGTATTCGAGGTTCGTGGTGAACGTGATACTTGAACCGGCCGCAGTAGATGTAGAGCTTATTTCTATGGCCTCCTCTTCGTCGTGAGTGGTCTCGACGGTCTAAGCTAACTGCGATGAAGCCCAGCCAAAGCCGGATAAGGGCACGGTTTCATTCCAATACCGTGTATAGCAGTAATTAAAACCCACTTGAGAGCTAAGAACTTTGTTAGCCAAACGTCTCATAACTGAGCGATGTGGTAGTTACGATTTCAGACGCGATGGATTTGTGGAACAGTTATTGTCAAACGCAGCGAGAGCAGTCTAGTCTGTCAATGCGGAAAGATACAGTTGATGACATCTGCGCAGCAACAGTGAGCCCTTTCAGTCGTATTAGAAGCACACGTATAGCCAGCAATGTGAATTTCTGGAGACACTGTGCGAGCAAAACTGGTAGTAGATGACATAGAGACTCGTTGACGGAACGGAATGGCAACAGGACACACGTTTCCATTGGCCCAGCCACATGTTTTGTGTGCACACCAAGTCCTGGCTAGCGCTTAACAGCCCTAACCCTACTTTCGGAAGGCGACCTTGTGGCCGATATATATTTCCCGGGAGCCGATAGATTGATCTCTAGAGACTTCTGTTGGACCTGAGAGCCTATCATGTAACTGGGCCCTAGACCGAGCTTAGACCATGGCGCACTGTCCAGGCAATCCTTCAGGTGGGGCACGGTTCGAGATCTTGGCGCACCAGAATCCGGCGAAAGAAAACAGAGAACGGGTCGATGCGACATCGTGGACGAAACAGATTAATCGAAAGGCTTTGGAGCCCCCCGAATCACATTCAAAAGGCGCCCCTGCACTACCCCTTGCGGGCTGCGGGAGGCTTACGGGACTGTGTTGCCGGTTGGAGTGAAGTTGGATTCATTGGGCTTGGTTGCTGCCTCTGATTCGATGTGCACGCCATCATAGGTGTCGTATCTTGGAGCTTGATTTGCGATCGAATCATGCTGTCATGCAGCGCCCCAGCGTGCATTGGGGCTATCATCAGGAGCTTTGCCACATTGTTTCAGATGGCGCTCACCATAGGGGTTCCCTTGGTATCCGAATGTGCTGCTCTGGCCTCGCACCCGCAGCGCGAATCTGCAGCCTTGCCTCCTGCTACGCTGAGTAAGGACTTTGTTATCTTCCGAGGTAACCAGTTGGCCCGCTGGACAGATGCTTGATGCAGTTGTGCAATGCGAGACGTGTACGTGGCTAGAGGCGCGCGGGTTTCGACTCCCACTAACTTGAGATCCGGCATGACATACTAGGTTCAGGTCCGTTGATGAGGCTCTGTGTTTGTTCACCGCAATCATTGCATGAGATCTAGGGCAGTCACTCGTTCAATTAGCTTATTCCAACTTCTTGATTTTCTAATTTCATACTTCTTCAAAACAACCATGATATTCCCGCGACCCCAGCAAACATCCCAACGAGATATCTCGACCCCCAGCACTTGACTTTGGCCCCCGCGACACCCAAGAACTGTACCGCCCCCGTACCGTTTGGTCCCGTACCCAGCCCGCCTACTATATAAGGCGCCAATCCCTCCGTGCTCGTCCCAACCACAGCTTGCGTCGCGCTCGGCGCTAACGAAACCGTAGTCCCACCTACCGCAACCGTTCCTCCTGGCGCCGTCGTACCACCCACGACGATCTCGCCACCAGGCGTTAGCATTTGACTGCCTATGAGATATTGGCCCTGCGCATTGGCTGTTATTGTTTGCGTGCCGATCGTAATCGCTAGAGGTGTGGTTGTGGTAGGAGTCGAAGTCGGCAGATTCAGTGTTGTGGTGCTCGAGCCTATAACGAGCACGGGGTGGATGCCTGATGTTTGCAGTATGACGGGCGTAGTGGAGGCGCCAGAGCCGAGGACGAGAGGTGTGTCAGCTGAGAGGATCTGGCCAGCGATTACGTAGTGTGACTGTGAGTCTGTGGTGAGGGTATGCCCATTCACAACAACCGGAGCGGGCTCCGGCGTATTATCAAGGGCTTGCGGAGAGACGACAGGTATTGTTGTGACAACTTGTGAGCCTTGAGCGTTCGTCGATGTGACGATTACGCCAGGTGCTTGGGATGTCGCGACGAGGATGCTACCTTGGGCGTTCGTAGAACTGATGACGACGTTCGCTACAGCATTAGCCGCGGCTGCTGGAACGGCGGTGGCGGCTTGGTTGTTGAGGCCTGAGACTGGCATAAGGGCAGCAATATCAGAGTTCTCCTCTTGCGGAGAAGGGGGGCTCGGAGCAGGAGTCGGCTTTTCTGCTACGGCAGCTGGTTTTCCAACTCCGAAAGGATTCGCAACGATCTGAGACGCTTCCGCCGCTTGGGGCTCAACTTTTGCTGGTTCCTTGCCCGCTGCCGGGTCGGGAGCTTCTTTCGGCGGACTCGCTTTGGGCGCCGGTGTTACGCCAGCCTCGTCACCGGCCTCGGTGGATGTAGATGTTGCGGTGAGATACAACGCCGTGTTCAAAGCGGAGGCTGCAGCAGGCCACGTTCCGTATGGTGAGCAATTCCAAGCTCCCATGTCGGGCATGAGCGGTTTAACCAGAGGCTCATAATCACTGTCGGAGGACCAGACAGCATCCCATGTTGAGCCCCTGGGATCCAATGCTAGGTAGCTTGCGCTTATATTTTGGATAGTATCCGGTATGGGTGGATGTGACGGAAAGGCAAAGACTGGTGAGTCACTATTGAAGGGGTCGAATTCCCCAGAGACTTGGGCGCACGGGTAATTCAGGCATGTTGCGACCCCAGCAGTTGTTATAAAAAGGGTGCCACAGAAGGTGTAGCTAGACGGGTAATCCGTGTAGAGGATCGATGGGAAGGTTCTACGATAGAAGTCAGTTTCTTGGATGAATACACTACCTTGAATGAGTCTTACAATATCTCGGTTCTGCTGGTGGTACCGAATTGGAGGACAACTGATGTCGTCTTCGTGGTTGAGAGAGGAGTATAATCTTTCAAGTCCACCTCTGTATTGGTAATTGTCTCGGTTCTCGTGCTATTGTTTTTCTTGTTGACCACATAGACTAGTATCTCTGCCGTTACCGTTGCAGTAATCGTCCTACCCGTCCAAGTAATGGAACCAAGTGGTTCAACGTTTCGCGTGCAGTTCGATGGGCAATCTGTTGTTCCCGCTGCGCTTGGAAAAGTTATCCTTGTTGAGTTTGCAAACGTTGCTGCCTTGATTAATCCTTGCCTACGATGTCCAAAGTTCTGTTCGCGACTTACTCGGATACGGGTCTGCCGTCGCTGCACTGAAAGGTATGATAACAATGAGATTACAAGCAAGAGCAAAAGAGAAAAAGTCGGACAACATCGGGATTTTAGGCTTGCAGTAATGACAGTCTGAGCTTTACAGCTTCTACAAGAATACAGGACCGAGGGTTGACAACGACGACGAAGTTGGGAATTAAGGTAGGGTTACCTTATGAGCACGCGTTAGATGGATCGTCAGAGATTACAACAAGGATCATTGGTCTTCGTGTGCTATCATCGGGTGGAGGAGACTGATCGACTAAACATAATTTTTGATTGGATCGGGGGTACATTTGTACTATTGCGAGTGAGCACTTGCTTATGGTGCGACCCGGGCAGAAGCTTGTTCAGTCCTCCCGGCGCCGTTCCTGAGGCTGAGTCTGTCTAGCCCAACTCCCCAACAACAGCATCATGCACGATTTGAGTAGGGACTCTAAAGAATTGAGAGATGAGGACTCAAGCGGTACACGCGCATCCTTGCCAACACCGTGTGCTTGAAGTTGAAGTCCGATAGGCCAAACCCAGGCCTACTGCTTACATTGAAGTTGAAAATCCCCTCAATATCCAACCCTTGATTTTCCGAGCTACTTTTGAAGGCGAGAATTAGATATAGAAATAGGAAAACGCTCTTTATCTAGAGTTCAGAGAAGAGAAAGATACGAGCGCGGGCATGTCGACTGTGAACAGTGCTCATGACATTGACGGGAATTCTAGCGCAGAACGAACGGGCAAATTTGCAAGATGTAGAACAAAAAGTACAAAAAGTCTCTTAATGTCGTGTCTAGACAGTCTCGCGGAATGTGAGATTCATTTCATAGACCAGGACTTGGAAATAAATAGAGATGAAAGAGTGAGCGCGAGATTATGTTGTGGCTATGGCGCCGAGATTGTTTGGTGGAGCCCGGACCCTTGACCGGAAAGAGCCGGAGAATGGAACTATTCTTAGGCGTGAACCTGATCTGGACGGCTAACAACCGCATCAAAGAGTATCATCTTGAGCTTCTTCAATTGACATCTTTGGAGTTGTGGAAGTGGACAAGAACTCAAGATGACTGGGTGAGCCTTGCAGATGCACCTCAAACACCGTCCGTCACCACCGTAGGCCTGCATGCGGAGGAGTTCGGCCGAGGCTTCATGACGAGCTAATTACAATTGGCAATACCTCGAAAATACCCTATCTTTTGCAAAAGCACCCAAATGAAGGTGTGGCCACATGTCCGAAAAGTGTGATCCAATATGTGAGTCCCCAGCCATCTGCGACTTCGACTACGACTCGTGCTGATAGCTCTGTGGATAGACACCCCGGGACAGGTAGAAACGCATATACGATTCGAGGACAATGACGCTAGCAAGGCCAACGTGCTTACGCGCGCAATGCCGCTCGAAACTGTACGAGGAAATAACGAATAGAGCACGCGCGACGTTCAGACGAAAGAGACTGTACGAGGAAAGGACGAATAGAGCACGCGCGACGTTCAGACGAAAGAGAAGGGAAAATACACCGTTTGGGGTGGGTTGAGAGCTACAGTATTCGACACGATGATAAGATGACTCTATTCCTTGATAGATTCCAGGTTGTCAGCCCTGCCATCTCAATTTTGGTCTTGAAGTATATGAGATGTACAGGGAAGTCCAATTGGTAGGCCTCTTAGTGTTCTCGTTTGCGCTCGTCCGGACTGACACCAAGTTAGGCTCGATGGAGTTGTTTTGATCGCTCTGTACGCTATCATCGCTCTTAATGCATAGTGCACATCTAATCCAGTGCTGGGCCGCGGCTGAAAGCTCAGAGTCACGCCGAGAAGCGTGCGAAGCTCACCCACGCCCAGTATGTTACTTGGGTCCCACTATTACGACATAGCAAGCTAGATGGCAAGTGCAGAAGGCGAACTAGCCGTGACGAAGATCAAGAGCGACAGGGCCCTTAAGTCTCCAGCCACGCGCTCTTTGGAAGCCTGATGGCGTCTACTCTGTATCACCTTACGAGAGGCCCGAAAGCGGACGTAGTGGACGTAATAAGTATCAGAAGCTTCAGGTTCATTGTGACGCCACGCGCTCTTTGGAAGCCTGATGGCGTCTACTCTGTATCACCTTACGAGAGGCCCGAAAGCGGACGTAGTGGACGTAATAAGTATCAGAAGCTTCAGGTTCATTGTGACGGGGGGATTTTGGACCCTTGTGATGGCCAATGATATGCTGACTAGAAGTCATATAAGCGCCCAGTGTCCAGTTCGGCGTCTGGTGGGCTGAGATTGCGCGGCCGATGTATTCGATCCATTCAACTGCAATGCTGGTCAGCCTTCCTACTGTGCAATTGGTTTGATGGTATATACAGAGGCCTCCTATGAGCAGAGGAATCATGATTCAAGTTCGTGTCCGTACGATTTGATGGTGGACCATGGCGGTGGAGAAGAATAGGATCTTAAAAAATATGGCTGCGGCTACGGAGGGGTCGTAGCGGTAGTACTTGAGTACTTGTACGTTGGGGCCATTGGCCGTGATGTTCGCCATGGTAATAGAGAGCTTCTCAGACAATGAGTGAGAGTTTGCTCTGACTGATGGAACGAGTGTACTAAAGGGTTGCCGAGTGAAAGTGTCTTATTATAGAGGGCAGGTGGATTGCAAGGGGCAACCTGGTGAAGAAGAAGCTTGCCTCGGTGAGTAAAAGTACTTAGATATATCTGAAGGAGCAGCATGTCTCGTACACCTTACTCGAAGGAGATTATGGTTTCGGCTTACAACCCTCCCCAAGGTTCGGAATCCTCTCTTCGACGAGTTGATTGGATTTTAAGCGATTTGTATGTTCATCTATTTTTGGCTATTACTGTTGTAATGCTATACAATACTAGGCAGTCATGCACGGTGACCTCTTCTTCTTATTCTCGTAAGGTTGTCGGGACAGGTCGAAACGTAGGCCCGCAAGGGCCCGAAATGATGTTCTTCCCTACCTCTCCTTTCCCGAATGACACAACAAAGACTCATTCACTCCAATTCCCCGTACACCCATCCCAATCTAATTACCGCCCACCAATGGACTACCTACTCGAGCGGTCAGATCTACTCGCTAAGCAGCTCCCATCGCTTCACTTGAGACTTCCCAGTCAATCTTCCCGAGAACAACATCCGCGTCAATTGGTCGTCTGACGCGCGTATCATGACTTGACGTACTAGTACGATTGCTCGGATAATTCGCTCATGATGCCATCGCGGCGTCTACATAATAAGACTCGACATGGCTGCGCCCGGTGCAAAGCGAGAAGAGTGAAGGTACGTCGCTGTGTGTTTCATAGACTGCTCTCGTCTCTGTACTGTTGCATCTCCGCCTTTTGTTTGAATGTCTTTCAACTCACGGCAAGGGCTGGTAAGAGGATGGATCAAAAGTCATGGATTGAGGTACTCTTGGCACGCCACAGTTTTCGAGTCTCATTGTTTAACCGGCAATCAAATACTCGGAGAACACTGGCGATCTGAAGGGCTGGATATTTTATATTTTCACTTCGACTTTGGGCTTCATCCCTCACAAGGACTTTACTTTATGAAAAAGGATTACTACAATTTGAGCATTCGATAGCACGGAGAAGTCGTCGATATGAACATGTCAATGTTTGAGGGTTTGATGCCTCTTTGACTGTTCCCTTTTTGCATACTCCGCCTGTCCGCAAAGATGATGTTTTTGGAGTTTCTCTCTGTCCATGACTTTCGGTCCCTTCTCTTGCTAAAGCCAACTTATTTTTGATATGCGTTCGATCTTCGACTGATTGGTTTCGTCTAGTGCGACGAGAAGCTGCCCGCCTGTGGTAAATGTGTGCGCCTACATTTGCGATGTAGCTTTCTTGACTCAAATCCTGTTAACACGCCGTCTGAACGTGGCTCTATATCAGCCTCAGCTCCGAGCGACGGTGTAGTTTTTCCTCATCCTAATGAGTCAATGCTTACGTCCTCGCGCCCGTCACCGGGCCCGTCTTTGACCAGTGTCTGTGCTCCGTTTGGTGGAAACAATGGCCAGATTGCTCCGAAGCCCGTGTTTTTTCCCGGCCTCCTTGACCTGGAACTGTTGCATCACTATACGACTGGTACGTGCTTCTCTCTATCGAGTATACCATCGAAACAGCAGATCTGGCAAATCGCCGTTCCAAGAGAAGCCAAGTCCCACGGATTTCTGTTGCACGCTTTGCTTGCCATATCAGCGGTGAACCTCTGGTATGTTAATCCTACAAAGCGCCACCTGTACGAGAGAGCAGCGCTCAACCATTGGAATCTTGCCCTCGCAACGTCAATACCCGCTCTCAACGAGGTCACCCTATACAACTGTCACGCACTGTTTGCAATGTCCGGCATAGTTTCAGTGCTATCTTTCGTATCACCCCACAGTGGGAAATTTGGAATGCCCTCTGACCCGGTGAATGACATATTGAGTGTCTTTACACTCATACGTGGTGTGACGACCGTCGTTCAAAGCGCCCAAGAGTGGATCGCGCAGGGGAGTTTGGGAGCACTCATCGATTATAGTTGGAACCCTACGACATCCCCGCTCTCTGAAGACGCGAGTGTTGCTTTTGAAAAGCTGTTCGACACGAATGAGAAAGAGACGCTTGATCCAAGCATCAGAGACATTTACAGCTCAACGATTCAAGGCCTTAAAAAAACCTTTGAGATACACACAGTCGTAAGGGACGAACCCGGCCTCGTGTTCACTTGGCTGGTCGTGGTTCAAGCGTCGTATATCACCCAGCTAGAAAAGAAAAAGCCTATGGCGGTGACGATCCTCGCACACTACGCCGTCCTTCTTCATACCAGCAACGGGCAGTGGTGGTTAGAAGGTCGAGGCGCTCATCTGGTTGAATTCATACGTCAAATTCTTCCATCTGAATGGCTTCCGGCGATACTGTGGCCAAGAGAGGCTGTCACAACGGGCTGGAAGCGGAATGCAGAACTAGATCCCGCTGCATCTGGGCACGCGCGATAGATGTGATCGAGCGTGGAAGGTGTGACGTACAGAAAGCCGGGGAGTACATTCGAGGCTTTACAAGGTGATTGGTACGAGAGATTCAAGAGAGTCGGCACTTGATGACAAAGTCGCCACCACCGCGAATAAAATGACGGTTTGAGAAGTTATTATCCCAGAGTGCCTCAGTGGGTCTAGGTCTCTACCCGATGGGATTAGTCCCAGACATGTGCTATGAATTGAGGCATTGTGCTCACAGAAGCTGAACAACTGTCTTTGTCGTGACAACGACTTTCCTCCCTGCTCGGCTCTCTCTTTCACATCGACCATCAAGCCAAAGAATTTTCATCGCCGCTTTGTGTGTATCGTTGACACTTTGTCGTCTTCAACGTGCTTGCAACGTCTCCTTTGACAACCTCACCAACCATCTTTAGCCGCTCACAGAGGTACTCCCTCCCACTGACAACCAATCGCGCCAGACTGCACTCACAACCTCCACTACTACCACAATCACACTCGCAGCGACCATGCCCGCCTTCGACGACACATGGCTCTCGCCAAACACCAGCATCCCCCCAATCTCTACCGGAGCCGATCGCAATCACCTCGACAGCTCGACGACCCCTTCGCGAATCTGCCGCCTCTGCGGCGACGGCTTCCACACCGAGAACAACCTCTCACACACTCGGGCTCGATCCCCGTGCGACGACCTTTCCTGCACCAACTGCACGTGGCTGTGGCGCAACGGCGACGCCGCCTGTCACACATGCGTCGCGCGCTTCACTTGCCCGTCTCGGGCTCCGGCGTCGGGGTCGGCAGGGGTTGACGGTCTGCCGAGCTCAAGCTACCGCGTCCTGGTGCCGGATGAGGGTTATGAGGGCGACGATGAACGGGGTGTCGTTGCCAAGCTTGAAACCTTTCCATCTGCCAGCTCAAGATTGTCGATGAGGAAGAAAGAAAGATGGGCGCAACGGAATCGGGACTTCTTTTTCGTGGGCGACAAGCGACACCTCGCTATAACAGCGATCGCGACACCACGAGTGGGCAAAGCGAGGAAAAGGCCGCTGCGCCTACGCCGAAGTCGTGGGAGGGAGGCGTTGAGTCGGCGAGCGGAGAATACGTGGAAATGATGGCGTCTATGGGGATGTAGCAGGATAGGGCTTTCGGCAAAGCGGAGGCTCCAGGGATCCGAGAGACGCTGGGAGCGGAGCGATGCAGCAGTAGTACAATAGTGGGAGCACGGTGTCGAATGAAGCGGCAGATATGGTGCTTTGGGTCGCGAGTGGTTTTAATTGTCGGCGGGAGATCTGGGTCTGGTGAGGGCGTGGAGAGAGAGAGGGTGAGAGAGAGGGAGAGAGGGAGAGAGAGAGGGGGAGAGAGAGAGGGTGAGAGAGAGAGAGAGAGAGAGGAATTCTGTTCACTGGACCGGTTCGTGCGATTGAGATGAGCGTGGTTGATGTGAATCAATCTGACCACATCTCAATCCCGCATTCGCCATCTCTCCCCCCCCCTTATTTCTTTCTTCCACTCTCTTTTCATTTTCATCATCTATTTATTACCCTCTCAACACCGTACGCGCACCCCGTCCCAGCGCTCAGACTTTCTTCCTCTCCCTCTTCTTTTCCGAGTTGAATATATATCGCACGAGTATCTTTCGTTCGTTCGTTCGTTCGTTCGTCCGTTCGTTCGTATATACGTACATACATACGTTTTTATAAGCGTCCAAGCCGACCCATCGCGGCCGTTTGCCGCAAGCCCGGCGATTGAACATCCGCGCCTCTGCTTTGCCCTTGCGTCGCGAAGTCGGTCGAGGATCTAGTACAATACATACATACGGGATGCAAGGATCTTGATCCTGGTGTGGGAACAACTGCGTACGGTGTGATGTGGGTGCTGTAATCTCTGGATCTCGCGGTGCTTGGTAGATGGTTGGCTACTCACTTACGGCATGGGGCGTATGTATGTATGTATGCATGTATGTATGTAGACACTGAGGTGGGGCTTTGCGTCGTTATTACGGATCGGAATGGGGAAGTGGGGAAGAGTGGGGGGGGGTGCGGGGAAGGAGATGGGAATGGTTGGTTGTGTTGGTTGTGTGGTTGGGGTTTTTCTTCTTTCCTTTGTTCTTCCTTGCGACGCTTATGTACGGCGGTTGATGGAGACACGAGCCCGAGCGCCGTGGCGAAGAGTTGATGTGGGTAGATGTGTATCTATAGTGGGAGGAGTTGGTAGAACTCGTCCGCTTACTCCGTACTGTTGCCCTGCTGATTGGTCGCTTGGTAGGTTGGTGGGACGGTAGGCGGTAAGATGGTCGATGGGCATGCAACACTTGATATCGTGATCGGCTCACTTTGCGACGCGATGATGCACTCGTAGGTACGGAGAAGGGCTCCTGCAAGTCATATGAGATCGAGAAAGATCCGGGGAACTCGTACGTAATATCCAGTCCATCCGCCTAAGCGACGCTCTGCATGCTGTGCCAGAGACGCATCCAACGTACGGTGTGTCAGACGCTCGGTGGGCATTGCGGCTAATGCCAGTCTGGAGCCTCTATTGTGCATAATGCACTTGACGCTTGGACGTATGACGGGTTCCTGCAGGCCACGGCGATCCGAGCCTTCTTGGACGTTGTTTTAGGCGCTCTTGCGGAATGAATAATAGGAATAAAGTGGCCTCCTACCCTGTGATGACTGCTCTGTCGCGACCGACGATCTCTTTTTCTTGGACAGAAAGATCAAGTCCCTATTTTTTTTTGATTAACTTGGACGAGGATAGCAAGAGGCGAAAACGGTTGCGATTGTTTGTGGAAGACATGTCGCTTTTTCACAGTAGCAAAGATGGATCCAGCGATGGTGATGTTTCGCACATCTCAACAACCAGCCCGTGTGCCGGAGATGACTGCTGCAGGGAGCAACAAAGACAAGACGAGGGGACATGCCATACCGGCGTGATCGAGAAGCCGTTGGATCCACACCACGTTACCGGCCATGAATCAAATAGACCCATCCGCGCAGCTCACAGATCAGGGACACTGCGGAAATATGTGCTTGACGATGTCGAAGAAGGTTCAGCGTACACCGAGCACGTGATCCTCAAGTTCCAAGGATCCAACTGTCCAGGCTGCACAAGCAAGATTTCAAAAGCGTTCGAGTCATTGCCGGCGGTGCACAATCTGCAAATGAACACTATCCTTCTGCAGGCGGAATTCGACCTCGATCTCGCCAAGTCTTCGGTTCGCGATGTCATCGATTCCGTGAAAAGTGCAACCGGGCGTGCCTGCCAGAGGATCGGAGATGGATGGCAGGAGCTGGATGTTGTGGTATCGGGCATTTGCGGGGACTTTAGAGCAGATGCTATGCTGCCTGTTGGGGTCAAGGATGTGACGCAAGTGAATAGACATACCTTTTCTATAAAGTATGACGCAGACATTATAGGTGCCCGACAGCTTCTGAAGGCCTTGAACACAGATTTGGCTAGTCCGGTCAGCTTAGCTCTTCCAAAATCTCATGATGAGGTACCCACAGAAATTCGAGCGACAGCATTCACCACGGCCTTGTCCTGGATCTTCACCATCCCAATACTGGTCCTCGCATGGGCGCCGCTCCCAAAGCACATGATTGCATACGATGCAGTGTCCCTTGCATTAGCGACTGTCGTTCAGGTCGTCGTTGCCGGGCCCTTCTATCCGAGAGCTCTTCGAAGCTTGATCTTGAACCGAGTTGTCGATCTCGATTTGTTGGTCGTCTTGAGCACGTCTATTACGTATGGATTCTCCGTAGCGTCTTTCATATGCGAGGTAAAGGGCACTCGTCTTGTGTCCGGCATCTACTTCGAAACCAGCGCCCTGCTAATAACCTTCATAATGATGGGACGATTGATGAGTGACTTCGCTTGCCATAGAGCGTTCAGAATTGGCTCTATAAAATCATTGCAGACACGGTCCGCTCTTCTCGTCGATATCTCCAACTCCTTTCTTGACAAGGAATTGGATGTTGATGTCCGTCTGCTGCAACTTGGCGATACGTTCAGAGTAAAGCCTAGCTGTCCCGTTGCGACGGACGGTACAATTGTCTCTGGAGTATCCGAATTCGACGAATCCGTGCTGACTGGAGAGGCAAGTTTGGTGGAAAAAACAGCTGGTTCGTCCGTCATCGCAGGGTCCGTCAATCTTGGTGATGCTGTCCTGGTCCGGGTCACTCGACTACCGGGAAGCAATACAATTGACGAGATTGCGGGGATGGTTGAGGAGGTGACACATTCAAAGACCAAAGCTCAGCACACGGCCGATGAAGTTGCGAGGTGGATAGTGCCGGCCAGTGCGACGCTTGCCATGTTGACTCTAGTTGTTTGGTTCGCGGTAGGTATAACAATACAAGAAGAGTCAGCCGGTTCGGCCATCTTGAAGGCCATACCCTATGCCATCTCGGTACTTGTCGTGTGCTGTCCATGCGCCGTGGCCTTCGCTGTGCCCATGGTCCTCGTCATTGCGAGTGGGGTTGGAGCAAAGCATGGTGTGGTCTTCAGATCGGCGGAAGTGATGAGGGCGGCTAGAGGCGTGACCCATGTTGTATTTGATAAGACAGGCACTCTGACGCAAGGTTGCTTATCGGTAGTGAGCGATGAGTATTGCTCCGAGACTCAAAACTTGGGAGCTGCTATCGTGGTCGCTCTGACGAGCCAGTCAGATCATCCAGTATCGTTGGCGGTGTCCAAGCACCTCAAAGCCGCAGGCGTTGAGCCTGCTACTGTCACTCATGTCACACCAGTAGTCGGTAAAGGCATTGAAGGTACGTATAACGGACGTATTGTGCGCATTGGGAATGCTCGATGGCTGGGGGTAGAAGACCAATTGCCTGTACGGTCCCTTCTCTCCCAAAATCTCACAGTCTTGTGTGCTACTCAAGGAGATCGGCTTGTCGCCGTTTTCGGACTGGAAGCTACTCTCCGCGAGGAAGCGAGTACTGTCGTTGCTAGCTTGGTCGAGCGAGGCATAGCCGTGTCAATCATAAGCGGCGATGAGA